TAGATTAAAGATGAAACTATTGTCATATTTAGTCAAAACTTTAACTAAGTTGTTTCTGTTTATCTGTTTATTGTCTGCAGGTAGATATATTTTTATTTGGTTTAAAATCTGATTCAGTAAAGCAGTTCAAATTATTGGAAAAAGTAATGACTTCTTCTAGATTTTCTTCTTAAGCTCTTCTCAAAGAACTGTTCTTTCTTTTCCTTCTTTTTCTTCTTAAAATGAAAAGGAAAAATTCTTTTTCTTTGACTTTGTCTTTTTGCCCAAAAGGACCTAAAAAATTTTATTTAACTCGTTTATTACTGACTGGACAAAACTTTTTTCTTTTTCACTTTTTTCTTTTCTCTTTAATAATTTTCTTTTTCAAATTAATAATTTTTTTTTTGAAACATATTGAGTTTGATTCTCTTTTTTTTTTTCTTCTCTTTACCTTTGTGAAATATTAAAATATATATTTAAAAAAAAAAAGCAAAAAGTGAATTTTTAAAATAAAAAATGAGGTAAATGTGTCGAAACAATTATTTAAAAATTAAGTTCATAGGATTGTCTTATGCCAAGTGGATTAAAATATTGTTTCATGAATTTCTTTTCCTTTTGTGAATACAATTTTTGATCTTTTAGCATTTTCAAATTTATTAGCTCATGAAATAAAAATGTCTTTCCTTTACTCACATACTTCAAATTTGGATAAGCTGAGGAAAAAGATGGAAAGAAATTCACGAGACTATGTGAAATTTTCTTTGAACCAATGAAAACCTTGACTTCACAAAGATTGTCTTGTGAGCTGAGAAAAGGAAATACATTTGCAAGCCTATGTAAAATTGCTTTTGGATCAATGAAAACCTTGTTTCCACAGGAATTGGCCATTGAGCTAAAAAGAAAGAAAAGAAATTAGTGAACCTATATGAAATTTCTTTTGATATAAAATGAGGAGAAAAATTAAATTAATAAGAGTAAAATGTCTGAAGACATGGGAAAGTTTTTGTTTCAGTTCCTTGCAATCAGCAACCAGCTTTCATGTTCTTGCCAGTGTAAAATCATTTGCTAATTACTAAGTGGCTTGAATTGAGGAATCGGAGAGCCAAGTTCAAATTGCAGTCAAGTTCATTACATTTACTTACATGCTAATACCCTTGGGAAAGGTATGAATCCACCTCTGAATCTATGGGTAAGTGGCAGGACAGACTGGCTTCGATAGCCTTGGGTGGTGAACAGTCTAGAAGAACAAATCTGAATTCAAAACCTGCAGAGAGTTGTTTGGGGAACTTGTGACATACTGTGCACCAGTTCTCTGTATTTGGCTCTTCCAAAATGTGTGGATAGTTCTGCACAAGCCTAAATCACTATAATTAAATGATATGTGTGGGTAGTCTGGTTGTTGTTTCTAAGAACTGAGCTTCTTGACCCTCATACATTGAAAATATATATATATATATATATTTTTTTTATAAGCATTTCACCCCAAGCAAGGCTGGAAGCCACTAGCACACAAGGGGTTACATAGGATTTAGAGCGAAATCAGATAGGAGTGATAGAGGAAAGGATAAAGAGAAGGATAGGGGATAGATCAAGGCAACCAGAGATATCTATTGACATTACATTTGAACAGTTGGAGATTATGGCTATCAGAGAAACAGAAAAAAGGAAGGGAGTTCCACAAGCAAAATGTGCGAGATATGAAGTTATTGAAGTAGAAGAGACGGCTACATCTAACAGTTTCAACAGTGAAAGGGTGAGAGCAAGATGCCAGCTTCATAGGACGCTTGAATTCATGAAGCCTGGGAACCAGCGAAAGCAGTTCATCAGAGCAATTACCATGAAAGTATTTGTAAAAAAGACAGAGAGAGGTGACGACACATCTGTGAGAGAGCGACTGCAGATGAGATGCCAGATCAGGGCCAACTGCATTGCATATCCGTCTCTGGATCTTATCAAGAACCCCGAGGCAAACAGAAGAGGCTCCAGACCATATATATAATTGTGTATTTGGGCAGCAATCCTTCTTTTATAGAAGTTTTGTTAAAAATGACTGACAAAATACTATGGTTAAGTTGGGTTTTTTTTATTATATGAACAAAAGAAAATTAAATTATATGAACACAAGAAAAATTAAATATAAAACTTAACTACAGTACCTTGTTAGTAACTTATAGAATGCCCCAAAATAAAATTCAATGACATATCTGTAGTTGGAACAAATTTCAACAGGTGACAACAACTGAAGCAAAGGAGAAAGGAAGAAAAAGAGAGAAGGCTGGGCAGTGAGTGCAAGAAAGATGAAAGAGGAAAAAAAAAGAAGGGCAAAAGGAACAAATGATCACAACACCATACATGTATGCACATCCTCAGAGATGGATGCATGGCTGCACGTACACAAATGCATGCATTAACACAAAAAATAAAAAAAATTACACTAATGCTAAATGCATATAAAAAGGAAAACTCAAAAAAATATAAGCAGTAAATTGAGGATACACCTTGAAGAGTGGACAGACAGGTCTGCCAACAAAACTCTGGAGTCGGGATGCTGAAGGTAACATCAATCAGCTAAGAAACAAACCTTTTAATCACATTAATCCTGTATATATATATATATATATATATATATATATATATATATATATATATATATATAAATTCATGAATCATTCATACAAAAAACAAATATAGAGGTTAATGATTTAAATGGTGAGAATACATCTTCAAAAACAATATAAATAAGATACATCAACCTGAACCTGTATATGAATGATATGATCCCTGTTCATAAATTCCAGTTGCATAAGGTCTTTTAATTTTACAAGCTTTTCGTCTGTTCCTACAGACATCCTCAGGTATGGAAATAGATTTTGTTCTTGTTTTTACTTCTCGGTAATAAGAGGACAACGAAAATGATTCATGAATTTATAAATTATAATTGCACCTTTAATTGAAATATATATGTATATATATATATATATATATATATATATATATATATATATCATCCACAGACAGACTGTTTCGCTGTACCACAGCTCATCAGTGTGGCTAGACGTTCGGTTGCCTCTAGCTAGGATCAAAACCTGACTGAATTGACGTCAGTCGGGGATTCTACTACTAAGCCATTGGCGCATGGCAGGGATGAAGGTGAATTTAAGTGTATTTATTTTTAGATAAACACACAGTGACTGAGAGAACTCGATTCAATTTACCGAAGAGTCTTGCATTATTATCCATAATAGTTACTGTTTACAAATCCACACTTCCTCCCCAGAGAGCTCAACCGAATATATATAAATATCTATATCTATATCTATATCTATATATATATATATATATATATATATATATATATATATATATCTTTTATAACTTTTGTTACTGAATGAGGGTTACTCAATGAGGTTGTTTCATGATGTAAGAGAAAGATGTAAGAAGAGCAGATTATGAGGATATGTAGGGTAGATAACAGTTGAACCCAGTCTTGAATAGGTTAAGGTTGTTGCAATCAGGAAAACATCCTGTCAGTAGTAATTCTTAGGAAGAAGTTATATGGCATGGCAGATCTTAGCTGTAAAGGTCTGAACTGGTGAAATGAATGAATATAGCTCATCAGAAAATTTGCTATGGAAATAGCAAAATAATAGTGACAAACTTGAAATATTGCATTTGTGGGAAAGTGTTCATAGGGTGAAAAATAATTCATCACCCACAAGTCCGTGTAGATGCTTTTGAACTCTATCAAGACTGGAAAGCATGTAATATCATGATATTACATAAGTTGTTATCAATATGGTTGTCATATTTTGTTTTATTACCTTGTTTTTTTTCTAAATGTTTTCAATAAACTGATATTTTTGTCATGTAATTTATAAATTGTGATTTCAATATGTACAAGATATTCAGTAAAAATACCTTTAGATATATACTTTTTTAAATGCCATGTCTCTTCAGGATATCAGGATATTTTAAATACCATGTCTCTTCAAGATATCTGAATATTTTTAAATACAATTTCTCTTCAGGATATCAGGATATTTTTAAATGCCATGTCTCTTCAGGATATCAGGATATTTTAAATATCATGTCTCTTCAGGATATCTGAATATTTTTAAATACAATGTCTCTTCAGGATATCAGGATATTTTTATTTTATAGGATAAGGATATTTTTAAATACCATGTCTCTTCAGGATATCAGGATATTTTTAAATACCATGTCTCTTCAGGATATAAGGATACTTTTAAATACCATGTCTCTTTAGGATATCAGGATACTTTTCTTTTTTTGGTTTAACTTATTGTTCTCAATTCTAAAATGGATCAGTTATGAGAAAGCATTCTTTGTATGACTGATGTAAACTGTTGCATAATTTATTGTGATAAAGATAAAAAATATTTTTCTTGAAATATTCTTAAATAATAGACTAATGTTTTACAACCTCAAAAATATATTCAGTAAGATTTAAATTAATTTATTCTTCTTGTCAATGTACAATGCACAAAGAAATTGGACAGTAATCCCTAGGTGCACCAATGCACACACACACAAAAAAAAAACATGCACAGCACTGAATGAAGAAAAGTAATACATTTAAAATCCATTGAAAATTGTCAGCATGTGGCAGTGTTCATTTTATGCAGGGCCCAAGAATAAAAACTGTCCTTCATATGCTTTGCCATCAAACTAATAGAATTAAAATGTCCTGAGGGTAATACTTCAAAGAAGTAGTACCTAGGATGGGTGCCGTCTTTTATTATACACACACAAAAAAAACACTGTTGAATGAAGAAAGATATTTTTAAATACCATGGCTCTTCAGGATATCAAGATATTTTTAAATTCCATGTTTCTTCAGGATATCAGGATATTTTTAAATGCCATGTCTCTTCAGGATATCAGGATATTTTTAAATGCCATGTCTCTTCAGGATATCAGGATATTTTTAAATGCCATGGCTCTTCAGGATATTTTTAAATGTCATGTCTCTTCAGGATATCAGGATATTTTTAAATGCCATGTCTCTTCAGGATATCAGGATATTTTTAAATGCCATGTCTCTTCAGGATATCAGGATATTTTTAAATGCCATGTCTCTTCGGGGTATCAGGATATTTTTAAATGCCATGGCTCTTCAGGATATTTTTAAATGTCATGTCTCTTCAGGGTATCAGGATATTTTTAAATATCAGAATGCTCAGAAACTTAATTTTATCCACCCTCTCCACACAAACCCTGCTGATAACTTTAGGGACAGGTGCTGTGGCATTTCTCTGAAAGTCTATCATCAACTCTTTTGTCTTTAAGGTGTTTAAAGTAAGATTGTTCTCCAAACTCCATGCAACCAGTCTTTTTATTTAGTTCCTGTAGTCTGCCTCGTCATCCCAGAAAGAAGTCTTACCATAGTAGTATTGCACATTAATATTAATAAATGTTCAATAAATTTTGTTTTATTTCTAAGCAAGATTTATATCATTGATACATCTTTCATATTAGCTTCACAGTTTTGGATAAATATAATCTTCTTCTTCAGGACATGGGAGATTATAGCTCTCCACAATTTCCTGTCCTTTTTTGTGCTTAGTAAATTTTGTCTTTTCACTCCCTCTCCTAATCTCTGTTTTTGCCAGCCATTTACATAAGCTGCTGCTGCTGCTTCTTCTTCTTCTAACCATGTCCCATCAGGACATGGGTGATCATGGCTCTCCACAATTTTCTCTCCTTTGCAGCTCTGAGTAAATTTTGTCTTTTCATTATCTCTCCTAATCACTGTTCTGCCAACCATTTACACAAGCTCGTTTTTTTCTTCTATGAACCGTGTACTATCAGGATATGGACAATCATGGCTCTCCACAATTTCCTGTCGTTTGTAGCACTTAGTAAATTTTGTCTTTTCACTATCTCTCTTAATCCCTGTTCTGCTATTCATTTGCACAAGTTCATTAGGTACATTACTCACTATTTTCCTCTGTCCATCATGTCTTCTGTCCTGTGAGGGTCAAATCTCGCACATGCATTATGAAAAGAAAACTTGCACCAGTGATAAGTGTATTTGTCTGCTCCTATATATAGAGATTGGTCACATGATGTTAGGTGGTCTCTCATTGGTTAATAAAACCATGTGGGCTCAGTAAAAGCTGACCACCACCAGATTAGTGACCAGGCCTGCTTCGAGGAAAAATGATCTCTGCCGCCAATAGTACCAGTTGCCAAGGGTTTTAAAGGTACGAGCTATCTAGCCCTATTTCACTCATCAGATGGATAAGTCCACAATAACAGTTGCTGAGGGTTTTAAAGGTACAGGTTACCTAGCCCTATTTCACTCTACCAGATGGGTGTCCACAGTACCAGTTGCTGAGGGTTTTAAAGGTACAGGTTACCTAGCCCTATTTCACTCTACCAGATGGGTGTCCACAGTACCAGTTGTCGAGGGTTTTAAAGGTACAGGTTACCTAGCCCTATTTCACTCTACCAGATGGGTGTCCACAGTACCAGTTGCTGAGGGTTTTAAAGGTACAGGTTACCTAGCCCTATTTCACTCTACCAGATGGGTGTCCACAGTACCAGTTGTCGAGGGTTTTAAAGGTACAGGTTACCTAGCCCTATTTCACTCTACCAGATGGGTGTTCACAGTACCAGTTGTCGAGGGTTTTAAAGGTACAGGTTACCTAGCCCTATTTCACTCTACCAGATGGATGTTCACAGTACCAGTTGCTGAGGGTTTTAAAGGTACAGGTTACCTAGCCCTATTTCACTCTACCAGATGGGTGTCCACAGTACCAGTTGTCGAGGGTTTTAAAGGTACAAGCTATCTCGCCTATTTCACTCACCAGATGGATAAGTACATGGAACCAGTTGTCGAGGGTTTTAAAGGTACAAGCTATCTCGCCTATTTCACTCACCAGATGGATAAGTACATGGAACCAGTTGTCGAGGGTTTTAAAGGTACAAGCTATCTCGCCTATTTTACTCACCAGATGGATAAGTACATGGAACCAGTTGTCGAGGGTTTTAAAGGTACAAGCTATCTCGCCTATTTTACTCACCAGATGGATAAGTACATGAAACCAGTTGTCGAGGGTTTTAAAGGTACAAGCTATCTCACCTATTTCACTCACCAGATGGATAAGTACATGGAACCAGTTGGCAAGGGTTTTAAAGATACAAACTATGTAGCCCTATTTCACTCACCAGATGGATAAATCCATGCTACCAGTTGCTAAGGGTTTTAAAGTCCTATTTCACTCCACCAGATGGGTAAATCTGCCTGACATATTCTCTGTATATAGGAAAGGATATTGTGTTTATGTTTTAACCATTGTATTCATGTTTATATGTAAATAAATATCTTTATTACATGTTGATATAAAGTATTCTTCTTATTCATGTTTGTCCTAAAGTAAAGTGGGGCTAGCACAATAAGTGCATATAAAAAAGAAAAATTGATAAGTATAAGCAGTCAATTTCTGATATCCCTTGATGAGTGAAATGACAGGTCTGTCTATGAAATTCTGAAGTTGGGATGCTGAAGATAACATCAATTAAGTGACAAACCTTTTACTTGCATTAATTATATATATATATATATATATATATATATATATATATATATATATATATATACTTCTTAGCTCTAATTTAACCACATTGAGCACTGTTTTGTTTATACCATATATCAAATTAAGTAAATATTTATTTGCTTACCTCTGCATGCACACTAGCACAGGTATGTATGGCTGAGAATATCTAGTTATTTGATTTATCCACATTAACTATATATATATATATATATATATATATATATATATATATATAATATAAGAAATTCAAAACCCCCATATATATAGCTATTTCTCCACACAAGGATTACCTTGCAAGGGTTGTCAACATCAAGGAGAAATAGTGATACATATGGGGTATTTTTTAATTTCTCTTATATGTAATTTATTTATATATGCTCTGTAATAAATACATTGAGCTCTCTTTGTGGATCAGTTTTAATATTTTATATTATTAGGATTCACTTGAATTATTTACCCATGGATTTTTGCCTATATATATATATATATATATATATATATATATATGTTGGCTGTTGGCCCCTATAAAATCATCTGCCCTTTGACAGATCTTGCTTTTCATCCTGCTGTGTGACACTCACCTCACCAGCAGAAAAACTAGTAGTGGAGCTGGTTTAGACACCATCCACCCATCCATGCAGTACATTGTGCTGGGTTACATGTTACCAGTAGCAAGTCTAAGCCTCACCTGAACTAACTGATATTATATAAAAGTTCAGTTCTCTTTTCTTTGTGTGTCTAACAAAATTTTCCTGTTTTTTAATACTTTGCTTCTTTGCATCTTTTGTTATTCTAATGTGCCTTTGGATTTTGGTGTCACTTTTCTGTTCTCTGTTAAAACATTTTCTAGATATTTATAATAATTACTGTGATGGCTACTATTATTAAAAGCTATTATTATTTTTTGTTATAGAAGGAGTAGTAATAATAATAATAATAATAACAAACAAATTGAGTTATTGAAAACCAAAGACCAGATATAGTTGTCCTCAACGCAACTAAAAATGAATGCCATATAACTGATGTGGCCATACCTGTTGATTGCAATATAACAACAAAGAAAATAGAAAAAATCAGTAAGTACTTTGAACTGAATTTTGAGATTGCCATATTGTGGAAAATGTGATGAAAAATGTTAAAGTCATCCCAGTAGTGATTGGGGTACTTGGCTCCATCACATTGAAGTTTAAAGAATTTATTGACTAACTTGATGTATAATACACTTTGCAAATGCTACAAAAATCTGCCTTATTGGTTACAGCAAGCATACTTGGAAAAGTTCATATTTTGTGTTCATATTTCATACACTAAATCTAACAATTATTATAGGGCAAAGTTGCTAACAAAATGAAAATTAAACTATTTATATTAATTATTAATATTAATTGAATTAGCTTTGATAATGTTGTTAATTATGAAAAACGAAATAAAAGTTTAAAAAAACTTTTGCAAATCAAAAAAATAAATATGTTATTAAGAACAAAACTGTTTAAATATTTCAAAATATGATCTCTTTTTCAGATAGTCCAATAAAAAAATTCATTAATTTTCAAGTTCTACTTAAGTGTTTAATATTTTAAATTGTTTTTTTTAATGTAGTCAGCTTTATTTTTTAACTGTCTTCTTAAATAAATGTACAAAATAAAAAAAAATTATCCTAAATTTGTAACATTTAATATGAATAGAATACTTATTTGCTTAATAATATATTCCCATTTTCTTTTCTTAGTATTTTTTTTCTGGTTCGTTTGGCGATCCGTACTTTCTCAGCCTTCGCTGCCTGATACCATTCGCTGTACTCAAAGTGTCCCTTGTAGTAGAAGCTTTATTCATAGCGACGTCCGACAGAGAAGAACTAGAAAGGATGGATACCGTGCGAAAATGACAACATTTGTTTCCCTGGCAATTATTTAAATTCCTAACAGACAAAGGCTGAATCCTTGGAAACTCTTTGATTATCCTGAAGTTGGATTTTACAGTTAAATTTTGACTAAAAAAAACTATTTTTCTTTAACTAACAAGAAGAAGACTAAGTTGAGTGAGAGAAGAGAAAAGATAAGTGATCATCGTTTTTTCCCTCTCTTTTCTTTCATAATAATATCGACTAAAAAGCTTCGCTTTTCCCCCCCCCTCTTTCATTCTGTTTGTTTGGGTAGTTATTGGCATTCTACTGTGGTAGGCGCTTCTTTTCTTTATTAAATAATGGACTGGAAATGATAGAAATGACATTAAAACAAAATAGAAAGAAAGAATAAACGAAGGAAAGATGAAGTGAAATTATTTTAATTACATCTCTCTTCTTTTTAGCAGAAAAAAAAGTCGAAGATGTCTGCTTCATCTTTAGGCAACTGTGTTAAAATTCAAAAGTTGTTTAGTTTATTATTTTCCCAGAAAACGTAATTTTTTTACCCCTCATTTACAGGACGGTTCTTATAAATTTTTATGTGGTGCTTAGCTTGGATAATTAATTAAAAAACAAAACAAACAAAAAAAAAAACAAACTATAACGTAAGAGTGAGACTAAGGACGAAAGAATAGGAAAGATAGAAGAGAAGTAGAAAAAAGTTAGTTTGGGGGGGTAATGGTCTTGTTGGAGACTTCACTCTTTGTAGTAGTAGTAGTAGTAGTAGACGTGATAAGTGTTGGTTCTAAATTTGGTAGTAGGCTGCCTTTTTGGTGCCGTCTCCAACATCACCATCAAATCGGGCAGGTGCTTCCTCCTCGCCTTCTTCTATAATATTGTTACCATGTATAATCAGAATGTCTCTCGTTCTACTAGCAAACTGGACACTATTGCCTCATCAATGTCAGCTTCCTCATCTTCCCGAGGTAACAATAATTCCTATTCTTCCTTGAAGTCTCCATCCAAATCACAGCATAATCACAGCTACCATGGTTCGGGTTCGGGTACAGATCCTCGAAGACATACTGCCGTTACCGTCCATCAGACCGGCACCACCACTTCTCAATCTTCGTCAGCTCTCTCTTCTTCCAAAATGCTATCCCCACGTCGGAGTCGTTCAAGTGGCACAGACAGCAGTAGCCAGGGGAGCCGCTCCAGTAGTCCAATGGACATGTCCATAGACAGTCTACAGTCTGTTAGTTCAGCTTACAACTTGTGCCAGTCTTTCGTTATGGATGGTCGCACCAGTCCCAACCTCAGTCTTTACGATAGCCGGTCAAGCAGTATGACCAGTGTCCGCAGTTTAATGAGAGACCGGTCCCTAGAAAGAAATAGTGATAATGAAAGGTCACCATCAGGTGCCCCTGAGGGAGGTAGGTATCCAATAGGAATTCCTGGAGGTCGGGATTTAGCCCCGACCAGTTCAGCCAGTGTGCGCGAACGAAGGTCCGGGTACCAGTCTTCTTCATCTTCACGGGACCGGTCTTTAGATAGGGAATATCCTCACATGGGGGCCAGATCATTGGAAAGGGATTATTCATATCACCATAGAAGGACAGAAAGGGCAGAAACCCTGCCATCACCTCAGTCTGTTATGGAAGTACGACTTAAGGATCAGCTTATTTTCGAATTACAAAACCAAGTAGCCGACTTAAATCAGGATTGTTTAAAATTTCAAAGAGATGCCGAAACTGCGACCGAAAAACTAAGTTCTTGCATGAATAGCATAAAGACATTTTGGAGCCCGGAATTAAAAAAGGAACGAGCTTTGAGAAAGGAAGAGGCCAATAAATGTAATTCTTTGAATGAAGAATTGAAAGTAACTCAAGCAGAACTCAAGGTAAGTTACTTAAACTTCCTCGATTTTAGCTTTAGCAGCTTTTGTTGTTGTTAAGACTGACTTGCATAACTTATTTATTTTTTTTTTTTTTTGTGCGGGAAAATATTTTGAAAATTTCTTTTTTGCTTTGTTAATTAGTTTTTATTTCCAAAATAATTTTATTCTTACCATGCTTCATATTGTATACTGAGACTTCATCATACCATATTTTTTATCAGCCTAAAAAAAAAAAGTAATTAAAAAAAAAAAAATCAAAAACCAGAAAATTAAGAAACAGATGAATTTCCATAACAAAAAGAAAAAATATATAAATATTTTTTTTTCTCACTAAGTTGAAAAAAAAAAATTAAGCATGGGGCAAGAGGTGTGTACAGTCGTCACGTGACGCAATCAGAAGACATGCTGAAAAATCGTCCTCTCCCGGGACGAATTTTAAATCATGTATTTATTTATATTTGATTAAATTTCGTTTTTTTGTTTTTTTTTATTTGTTAGTTTTTCTTTACATCTCACGATTCTTAGTCAACAAAACAAAAATTTTTTTTTTTTTTTTTTTTTTTAATTTAAAAATGGATGTTAAAAAAAAATGATTTTTTAAATTTATTTTTTTGCCTTAAGAAAAAAAAAAAAAAAAGAATTTTTTTAAATTGTTTTCCGTTTTCCCCTCTTTAAATTGATCAATCGATCATGTGTGAATTTCTTTAAGAAACATGATGTACATAACACAATATCTCTTTTCTCTTCAACTTGGCCGGTGTAACTACAACAACAACAACATCTATGACTCATTCTTCTTCTTGCAAGCACCGACCAACAAATAAAAACCACGCTGCTTGCTTCCTTTTTCGTTTTGTTTTTGTTTTATATTGGACAGTTATTTACATAATAACAGAAAACTTTGTAAATTAACTCCCCATTGAAAACGAACAAATTTTTCAATTCATTTAAAATCAAAGAAAAAAAGTTTAGTTGACAATTTGGTTTTCCTTTTCCTTCTTTTTTTTTTTTTTTTCCTTACTTTTTTTTTATATATATACACCAGTGGTTGATACTTCACGTCGTTCAATATTTCGTTGGATTTAACCATATTTTAAAAATGTTCCTTACAAAAATTTCGGCTTCGTTATTTGAAGGAAACAAAGTAAAACGAATTTGTAAAAATAACATGCGGCGAATTCGGTTAAAAAAATATTCGGATTCCTTTACTTCGCTACGACATAACATTTTCAAAGCAACATCAAACCTAAAATCGTCATTATTCATAAAGATGTTAAAGTGGGTTAGATCAAAAAACTCTAAGTGAGTCTGTTAAAAGAGGTGGGGCTTTTTTGCATTGCTTCGGGCGACTCTTTGAAAAGTTCTTTCCATTTCGTCGGCCTAGTTGTCGTGTGTGTTTGGTGGTCTGCTTTTTTTCTATGTTTCATTCAGTTCCAGAGTTGCTGTTAGTGTTGTTAAAACGATGTAAAAAAAAAAAAAAAAACTTTTCAGAGATACAAGGACCCCCAAAATGGATAAATAATAATAAAAAAAAATATCATCATGGAAGGAAAAGTTAATTCTCTCTTCATCTTAATTCCCAGTTCACAACTTCATCTTTAGTCTTTGTGTCTATTTGGCGTGGCCTTTTGGGAAAAGAGTTAGCTTCTGGTTTTTGAAATATTCAAACAAAATATTTAATAGAATTTCTCCTGATCTTGGGAGGAAAAAAAAAATTTTTTTTTTTTATCATTGCATCAGTTGTATTCATTTATTTCAGTAAACAAAAAATGTCTCATCAGCATTTTTCTGTAAGTTATTTTTTTTTTCAACCGCGTTAAAATAATTTCAAAATTGAAAATGAATTCTGTTCCACTTAAAAATTTACACATTTGTAAAATCTGTCATGTTGCCCGTTGGAAAATTCGTTTTTATAAATTCAAGAATTGAGAGAAGCAACTATATTCATTTTCTTGAGTCTTTTTTTTATTGAATCTTTGATTCCAAAAACTCTGCAAAGTAATCATTCATTAATCATTCATCAAATCATTATTTTTTTTTCTGCGTGCAAACAAAAATTCGTCGATTTCTTTTATGTATCCAGGCCTACCCAGTTGCTCAGGGTGATAAGTACGCATTTTTGGGGGTGCAAAATTGTTTGAAATTAGTTTTCTTTATCTCAGTTTAGTAACACGTAACTATCATTGCAACCTCTCGCCCACGACTTCAGGCATTTTGGGGGACAGAGAAATGTCTTCTTACCTAATTGATTGCCAAAGATTGGAACTACTGCCATTGATTTATTTAAATTCGTAAAGGCATAAACCTTCTTGAGTCACTATATCTCCTTATTAGTCTTCTTATTTCATGGTGTTTCAGTTTAATAATGTTTTTCTTTTTTGTTTTATTTATTGGTACAGTACAATGAAACTTGTAAAAACAAAATAAAAGACTATGCACTTCTTGGTAACAGTGACTGCTATATTTGTTGCCTTACTTGCAGTGAAATAATTAAAAAAAAAAAACAACCTAGGATCAAGAGTTTCTTAAATAGATTCTTCTTTATTGTTAATCAGATGTCCAGAGTTTTGTGAGTGTGTGCCAGAGAGAAACTGAGTGGTTCAGCTACTTCTTGCCCAATGGTGACCCACATCTGTGTCAGGTAGTGTAGAAATAGAGAGAAAAAAAGTAAAAATTATACCATTTTCTTTCATTCTAATCCAATTATCTATTTAATTCTAAGCCCCAAAGTAGATTGAAGTCACTTTCAGAAACAGTTGGTAGACAAAGTGTTCATAACCATATTAGTGTGGATTACTGGATGTTCAGTCATTTCTTACTCATCAATGAATTGTAGGGATGAGGAAGAACAGAATCTGGAATTATCATGTGATCCAGAGTGTAGAAGCCATCAATAGATGATAAAATGCTGTAATAACAATAATAAGGAAAATAATCCATCACTTGTTAATGTGAACTTTGAAGTAATCTAAAAAAAATCTAATTGTAGCTCCTATTAATGAGATGATCAACTTGACATGATCACGGCTACTCAAGCTTCTTTTTTTTTTTAATTCTACATTCAAACAACAATAACAGGATTACAATCAAGATTCCTCATCCTTTGACCCACTACTTTTTACTTTCAAGTTGAACAGTGTTTTGTGTTTTAGTTTACACTGGTATGCCACAGTGTAAAGTAAAACACCATGAGAGAATTGAATGTGTGCCGCAAAGAATTTTAAAAGTCATTAATTATTTTCGTCCAAAGCATAGTAAGTGAACACATCAAAATTAAAACCTCCTTTAAATTAATTATGAGTATATCATTGTTAGAATAAATATATACATAATTTATAAAATAATATAAAAAGTAAGATTTTCTGCAATAAACAATATTAAAGATAAAAATCGATCAAGGCTAGGATACTTGGAAGCAGATTTAAATATGTCTGTCAAAAATTCAATCTTACAAAGAAAATATTCTAAAAAAAAAATTGTCAAGCTCAGATATCTCATAAAATGTTAAATTATAATAAACAGAAAAATAAATAAAAATAATTTTTTTGTGAATTTTACTTATCTTTTTATTACAAATTATAATAAATTATTTTGTTTGTGTTAATAAAGATGTCATAAAAAGGATAATTCTTCTTTTTTTTTTCTTGATCATCATAATTTAAGTGTTCTGTGGAAGTTGAACTTTAGGTTCGAGTGTGCCATGAGATAAAAAAAAAAATGTTGAAAAAGATTGATCTAAGAGAATGCTTGTCCAAAAGAATCTTTGTATAGTAATAATATCTCATAACAAAAGTGATGAGAAAAATAAAAATAATAAAAAATGACACTAGTCTGAAAGAATCATTGCATAATAACAAAACCTTTTAAAAAAATTATCTATCTACATACCTATGGTTTTATTTAAACAGTGGAAACTTGGACTCTATACTAACTGTTAGTGTCATACCTTAAGCAATTATCAAACCATATGTCCTTGTACAGATGCCATATAGAGGGTAGTGGAGGCCTATGGGAAATGGCCCATGTGTAGAACTTGCACAAGGAGTAGTGACATATGATCTGATGATTGCTTGAAGTGTGGAAATGGCAGTTATCATGCAGTGATGATTACTTTGTTTACATTGTTGATATCTACAAACATTCCATCTTTGATATTAAGAAGTCTTTCTCCCAAATATAGCAAATTTGAAACTATAATTATACCAATGACTTTATAATATTGTCTATAATTTATTAATGTATGACTGTTAGAAATTACTTTGTTATCAAATGATTTATAAATGTATCCAATTGTAAAGAAAAAAATTATGTTCAATATGAATAGACAATGCTCAAAGTCAGATTTTTAGCACTGTTGGCATGCATTTACCACAATTGATATTTGGCCATGAGCAACTTGTTTGTCCAGAACTCTTTATAAAAAAAAAATTTACACTATAAATTGATTTTATTTTCTAAATAAATTCATAAGGATGCCAAGATGGCATAAAGGTTAACTTTGCATCCCTCACTACCAAGAAGAATTTATTCAAGTAAGCTCTTGGTGACTGTTGATAGAGAAGAGTAATTTTACAATCTTTGATGTAAGATTTGTTTTATAAAGTGTTGACACCTGCTTTAGACAGAATACATTTAAAATGATGTAAAATGAATTGTTAAAGGTAAGGAACTAACAGAATGGAGCAACTATATATTTTAAATATCTTATAATTGATTTTGCAAATGGAGAAACAATAAGAAACGTATTGCCAGTGGTTGGGAAT